TAAAACAATTTTAAGTACCCTTTTAAAAGACTTGTCTTTTTAAGGAACTGAAGGGAGAGATTTTATCCCCTAGTTGCTGTGCTCCATTAGTCAATTGGTTGTTCTGCGGGGTATCAGTTTGTCACAATACCAGACTGCATATGTAAATACCACACTTGGTGTCTAAGAAGCCAAAGGTGGAAAACAAAAGGCATACTACGCAATTGAGGCAAAGCGCTGACAGGTTACACCTCTATGGAGTAGGTTGCTACTACAATGACAATAGGTGTCTGGGTACCAGACATAGTTTGTCTGTCTTCAGTCCTTTATATTTTACTTTCTTTACTTTCAGTCTATTACTGCTACTTGAAAGAAATGCATATTATTTTAAGAGCATTCAAGACCCTAGAGGCTGAGGAAAAGCTGTTGTCCTTATCTCAGTCCTTTGCCCTTTTCATAAGTGAAGAAACAGGCACTGCTCTTCCTTTTTATGACCTAGGAGAATACAGTTTGAGAGGTATCATTTGACCTTAGCTAAGTTTCAGGGGAAAACCCCACTCCGATCCCCTTATATTGGAAATTGGAAATTAGTTGTTATCATATGTACAGGCGGTAAAAAGTCACCACTAACACCAGTATCCCATATCATTTGGTTTTTGTATTATTGGAAAAAGAATCATGGTTTTGATAATAGTGAACTTCATTGCTTGTCAGTTATCCTGTTTATAGTCTTTCTAGTAGTATTTAATCGATCTTTTCCCAAACCAAAATCTTACTAAAGTTTGAAGACACTCAGAATTTTTTTATATGTATTTTTTTATTTCATACATTTTTTACATCATTTTTCATTTTTGCACAATATGCATTTTCATCTTGATTATAGTCCCCATACAATTCCCACCCCCCTTGTTTTGATCCTACTCCCTCCTCTCCCCCTGTAATGTGTCTCTGGTTTATAGTTGCCTGTTGATTTTGATTTTTACTTTATTATAATTAGGTTTTTTCCTGGTCCCTTATTTAGGTTTTCTAAATTCCTGCTATGAGACACTCAAATTTTTAATCCAAATTTTTTAAAACTCACATCCACATAGAGCTTTATAACTAACTTCTTTCAAATTCGTCTAGTCAAAATGTAACTATCCTTTTTGTGTGTGTGTGTGTTTTTTTTAGCTATTACTGGATATTTTGGGAGTCATTTTCTCAGAAGTTCTGTTTTGTTAGTATTTCAATCAGTGCTTACTTTTTTAGTAAGATTTGAAATTCTATTTTTAGCTAACCTATTTTTAACAAGAAACAGTCATTCTCTGTACTTAACTAGAGTTTTAATTTGGAACATAGTTTCTTATATTTAGAAAAAGTTCTTAAAACCTTATCTTTTTATACTCTTGTACAATTTTAAAATGTGTAACACTAGGGCCAAAGAAACAAATTTAATGGTCATCCATGTTTCTTTACAAATTATAAGGCTATAGTCATCTGTATAAAGTTCTTAGAAACAAAATTTACAAAGTTGAAAAGAGGACAGGTTGACCATTGCATTTCACAATGCCACATGTAGAGGGCAGCAGAGACTTAGATTTTTATATTTCCCTGTAATAAGGCTTTCCAAACCTAATGTCTGATTGCTTGTTATGGTGAAGACAAAAGTATATGTAAATACTATTAGACCAAAAAGAAATAATGATTATTCTTAAGCTCTAGTTCATTTCTAAATTCTGAATTCTAGCTTTACATTAAAGGGGGTAGAGAGGGAGTATGTAATGTAACAGTTTTATAGAGAAGGGAAATGATATTATCTTTAACTTCTTCATATTTTAGGGGAAAAAAAGCATTAAAGGTTCCTTACCAGCAGAATAATAGAAATTAAGTAAACCTGGTCTTTGGAAACCAGTAATTTTACAAAAAAATTGGCATCTTATATAGAGCTGCATTGTTATTTCTAGGTACAATTAGTTTTTAAGTTCATAAATGTTACATATTTTACACCAAAAAAGGCATTTAACCAATCTTTGCCTTAGTTATACCATTTTTAGAAAATCGTATAAGTAATTACTTTTATTAATGTAATCATTAAAGTCTATCATTGTTTGGAATTGGATCGCTTCTAAAACTTAAGCAACTAGAACTATTCTTTTTTACTTACCTGTTTTGTTATAAGAAAGAAGACTATAAAGCACATAATCTCAGTATTTTTTATGGTTTCCTTCTCTATACAATGTTGGCAATCATTGAGCAAACACTGTTCTCCAATTGGGTGACTTAAGTGTTAAACTTAGTTCTGATTCTAGTTTACTTAAGAGTAATTACCACAAACTGAGCATGTGCCAAATATGTGCTCAAACTGTTACATTTATATTCTTAAATGAAAGGTATATCTTAATAGGAATTGAGAAGACTAGATTCAGATTTCTATTTTAACATGTGAAGGTTTCTACCTTTACCTTTTAAATCCTCAACTAAAGGAGAAAAATAAGAAATACCCCTTCCTCTCATTATTTTTACCTTACTTCTGTTCAGAACTCAGTAGAAAACATAGTTTGGGAAAAGAGATATAGGCTAAGAGACCCATGAAAACTCCCTAGCACCATCTTTCCTAACTCTCACTGCATAAGTCACTTACTCTTTTATGAAAATAAGTGGCCATAAAGTATTGGCCTTACTTGCACCATATTTTAACTAATAAAACTACTAAATCAGACTACTTGGTTCTAATCCAAGCCACTGAGTAGTCAATGTTTTACCTTGTAAAACGAAGGAACTGGATTCCATGATCTCTAAGCTGCTCCCATTTTAATACTGTATAGCACTATCGTCTACAAATAGTCAGCCATTCAAAGACCAGCCACATCACATGTATTTCCCAGGTTTGACCTGGTGATAAAGGCCAAATGATGAGATATTACCAATTACCAGTTTTTTAGGTCTCAAGCCAGAAAGAGCAATTATTAACATCATCCTGAATATGAAACATTGGTGTTTACAGAAGGTAACATTGATCCTTCCTGCAAGGAGTAACAGTGTCCTGCAAACCTTAGAACATTGTTTTTTAGAGGTTGTCATTATTAATAGCCTGTGCCCCCTATTTACTCCTCAGCCTCTGTGATTTGTCTTTACTCCACTGAACTAGCATACTTGAGGTCCTCATTAAACCGCTAATCACTGAATCCATGAATCTTTTCTTATTCTCCTTAACCTTCTTGCTGTAATGAACAGCTTTTCTTCTTGCTTTGCTTCTTTCCTTTTGCAGAATTCTCTTTCCTTTGGCATTTGCCCAAAGTTAGGTCCTTGGACCTGTGTTCCTTTTGCACAGATTTTCTCTCCCAGGCATCTCATCCATTCCCAAAGCTTCAGCTCTTAATTTCTGTGTATCTGACTACTTGATCTAAATTGATATTCTGGCTTTCTAGTCCTTGTCCAACATTTGCGAGTACTGTCTCAATTCTCATTTTGCATGTTCTTCTACCACCTTAGACTCAGTATATCTAAAATGAAACTCAGAATTTTCTCTTAAAACTTGTTCTTCCTCATTTCTTTGTTTGCACTGTTACCTCTCCTAGTTTTAAAATCACTGACATTTCCGAATTCTTGCATATGTTGTCTCTTGCTTATTTCCTTTTCCATTCCCCCATACCTTAGGCAAAATTCTTGATACCTGTTTTCTACATTGTTTCCAGTCATCTTTTAAAATATCTTAAAACACAGCTTACAATATAACTTTCATTATCTTTCTCACTTGCTCAATTACCACAGCCCATAACCTCACAGTGTAGGTTATCCCCTCACCCTCCTTGGGGAAAGCCTTGAAGTTTCCCCTTGCTCAGACCTATGAAAAACGTAACATGGCCTTCAGCCACCCCTGAAATAGCATCTTACAGGCACCCCCTAGCCATCTTTCCCAGCACCATCGCACTGGGAAGACTACCAGAAGTAGTTCCTCCTCCTTCAATGAACTTCTGTAGCAGCTACTGGCTCTGCAACTTGGGAATTTTCAAAAGCTGTCATATTATTTACCTCTTTATGTGACCTACACAAAGGTCTGTTAGCACTTTAGGAGTATTCTTTTGTGTCACCCATAATATCTAAGAATAGTGCCTTTTACATAGTAGATTTCTCAGATTTCTCTGATCCTAATAAATCCTAATAGAAATGTTTTTTGCATCTAGCAAATTATTCATAGTAGAATACAGTTAAGATGCAACTCTACCTTTCGAAGCAGAATACAGTATTCTCTGTTAAAGAATAAAGTCTTCTTTGTACCAGGCCTACCAAACCAACAAAAGTAGTGTTTTCCATAAACGCTACTCTAGAAGTGTAGTCTGTTACCACTGTGTGACTTTGGGCAGGGAACTTCACCTTCATGCTCATTTTTTCTCCTGTGAAATGCTAGACTTTTTAAGTAGTTCTTTTGATCCTATTGGAGTAGATCAAGATCAAAACATATGCGGGGTGGTGGGGGGGGGGATTTGCCTTTAAGTCTAGAAATACAAACTTTATCTGAGCTAGCCCAGTATACTCTACCCATGGTAAAATACACTTTGGAAAGAATAAACTGAAGTATACACAGTATATTTATCTTGCTAATCTTTAAAAAAAACAAACTAGGAACCAGTTTATAAAAACTTAAATAATTTTATAAAGCACTTAGGCTTTTCTTTAGTATGTGCCCTTCTTTAACTCTGAATTACAATTTTCTTAAGTTGTCAAATAGTCCATACCAAATTCCTTTCTTGCTAATAGGGTTTCATCATAGGAAAGATCTCACTGTCTGTGACTAAGTAGTAAAATAGGTAACCTAGATAAGCAACTAGGTTTCCTTTGGCAATGCTTTTTAGATCAGGAAAAAGCCTTACATTGGTCTGGTTCCTTTTCCCTTCTCCTCTTTCTATAGGAATTCCAAACCTCTTGATAAAGAGCTTTCTCTTCCCTGGTGAAAATTGAGAAGCCTAGGTGTGCCTAGCTGTCAATTACTAGTGTCACATGGTCCCATAGTACCCGCCCACCAGCCTGTTTGTGTGTTGGGCCCCGCCCACACAGCCTGGAGTCTGTGAGCTTTTTCTTTGCTGCTCCCAGAAGCAGTAAGCTCCACCACAAGGAAGAGGCATGGGCTAATGGCTGCCAAGGGTGGCTGAGCACTCAGAAGAAACTCCTATGTGCCTGTGCAGTGCTTGGGTAGAGGGCTATCTCGGATGTGGATTAATTCTAAAGATTTTAGGGGATACGTGGTAAAGCATGGTGGCGCATGATGAGATTGGAGGTCTCCTACCTGCTAAAAGGGCTATAGGACTCCTAGATGTTAACAATCCGTCCTTCAGAGAACAAGAGGTAAGACTTTAAGAAATTAAGAGAAGAATTAATTCAAAAAAATACTTTCTAACTCCACGAACTTTTAAGATTTTAACCATTTATTAACTTTTGATCTTACTGAGTGTTAAAGTATATGACTTTATATGGAAGCTTGAAATGTGTTTAGGAACTGCTGTCTAAGTTTAGAAACTAGTATATAGATATGTATATACAAAGCATGGCTTGACTATATGTAAGAAAAAAGCTTTTATTTAAATTTATGCTACCAAATATGATTAAATTGGTCAATTTTTGATGCTTGATACAGTTTTCTTTTAACGTGCATTTTTATTACCTAGTCTTAGAGACTACTTTATGTAGTAAGAAGAAAATAAATACCCCTTCTTTGCAAGTTAATGCTAGTGAATGGGCTGCAACTAAAATGCTGTCAGACTTAGTGCTCAATTTTATTTTTCTTTTCATACCCTAGTAAGTTCATTGTGCACCCTTTTTTGGTCCAGAAAATAAGAAATATGTTAAAATATTTAAATAAATATATCATTATTTAAGTACTTTCTAGGCTCCTTTCTTTAAGGGCCTGGAGTCATTGTGACTGCTATTGGATCCCCAAAAGCATGTGTGAAAAGTAAAATAGTATATTTATTTACCAAAATAGCCAAATGATTTTTATGACGTCTAATTTTGGCAGTTGATTTAATACTATATGAGGATTCTGTTTATACTGCATACTATAATGTATAATTTACAGTAAATACTATATTATCATTGATGTGAGAGAAATAGTGTTTCAGTATTCAAATAACTGCGTATTTCTTATCTTGATTATGGTGATTATTTTTTGGCTTTGCATTATATATCAAAACTTCTCTAATTATGCATTTTAAATTTGCAGTTTAAATAAATTCAGTAAACTTGTATCATACATACACATACCTTTTAGTTGCTGAAAGAGCTGCCATCTTTAGGCTCTATGCTTTAATTTGTTGTAGTTTGGCTTTGGTTTTTGGTTTGTTGGTTGATTGGTTGGTTTGGGGTTTTGCTTATGTATTTTAGTTTTCTTGAAATGTGCAGGCATTCCTTTTGTTAGAACAAGTTATACATGATCATCAGTGTAAGTCCAAAGCTGATCATCTTTTGATCAAATTAGTCTTTTCTGTTTGGTTATCAGACACAGGCCTGATTCTGACATACCTTTATTCTAAAGATTGAAAACACCATGAATATTATCAGGTTTCTGGTACTAGCAACACGCACACACACACAAAAAAAACTAAATTTTAACTAGTTCTATCACTTAAGTAGAAAGGGAAGAAATCCTATAAGATCATAACTCATTTTTATCTTTTTACAAATAACTTTCTTTTTATTCTTGTTTTAAAGTTCTTGCCAGATAGGAGACAAGATTTTTCCAGGAACCAAACAAACAAACACAGACACAGGTTTTTCTTAAGTCTTTTGACTTGATTGACAATAAAAGAAACCCTCCAAAAATACATCTTAATAGAAAACTTTTTTATAAAAAAAGCTGAGTTCACAGCAGCATTTTTCCATGTTGGTACTTTTATGTGCCAATATACATCCCAATAAAAGACTTTAAATTGATCTTAGCAATTTTCTGTTTGTAGATATTCAGAAATATCTGAAGGTATAAAATCTGAATTAATGTAGATTAATAAAACCTCAGCCTTAAGGCATATTCATTATAATAATGCATGTGATTGTCTAATCTGTATAGTCTAGTTAAAAACTAACTTAAATAGACAACATAATTTTATGGTAAAGGGTATTGGGGTTTTTTTTCCCCAGTCTAAATGTACTTTAGTCCTGGTGAAAGGTTGACTACAGTAGAAAGACACCTTGAGCCTGTAACCCTTGGTTTTCTTTGCTATTACATAGATTTTCAGATCCTCTTTTGAGGGGCGTGTATAGTTTCAATATCCATACCATTCTATAAGCATCTTGTATTCACCATAATGCTGTTAGCAACACTTCAAAATAAAAATAAAAACAGGAAGAAAACCATTAAGTTAGCTTTATTTAGGAGGATAGTCAGCTAAATAGACTTCTACTCTCCTCCCTTACCACTTTAAATATGCATCTGTGTACATGGAAGAGCAGATGTAGGTATGAGTTCTCAAAAAATTTGTCTTTGAAATATGTTTTGTGACAGTACAAATACTTAGGTTATAATAACCAAAGCAGGATAATTAAAATGGTTTGTCTAGATCTCTTAAAAAAATTGCTTTTGGTTTTACCTCACAAACCACAAATCCTAATATGTATTTTAAAAGAGACAAATTTTGTATGACTGATGATTGCCTAATCCATATCACTTTTCCACAAAAGTTTTTTATTTATTTCTTAGAAGTAGTGTATGCGTCCTGAAATTAGCGTGTATCATTCTTTATTACATTTTTGTATTTCAATCATTTTGTAAGTTTTTCAGTAAAATTTTTCATATTTTCAATATATATATGTGCTAAAAGTTTGTGTTGTATTCACATAGGTCCTTTTAGTAAGGCAGGAAAGTTACTATTGTATACCCAAAAGCATGTTTGAAAGTAAAAAGGTGCCTCCCCCCCCCACCCCATATCCCCTGACTTAGGAGACATTTTAGATTCAGTAAGCTCTAGTGAGTAACAAGCCCTGTGTGAAGAAGTAAGACTGTAAGTAGGTTTCTAAAGAACTGTGGAGCATACTTAACCAATTCCTGCCACCCTAAAGTGACTATGCTTAACAACACAGTAAAGAAAAATGCTTTAGATACACTTATACTTAATCATCTAAATCTAAATTCTGTGCTTTTAATTTTTAATTGTCACATTTTGAGTTAATAGGATGTTATTAATTATACAGTAACTGATCCTATAAAAATTAGAATTTTTATCATTAGTTTTATGTAATAAAATTTTTGTCAGAAATTCCTTTCGTCCTGACTAAAATAACTTTTCCTTTCAAATGCATTTGGAAGAACACTTTTCCAAATACTTTTAAATTAAACTTAAATATTTTGTGATTTGCTAGGAAGTCAAATTTGTTAAGCTTTAAAATGAGGAAGAGGAATTAACCTCTTTCCAAAAAGTAGAACAGAACTTTCTGACAACTGCTTTGTTTCTAGCTAACATTAGCATATCTTACTTTGTGAGGTAATTATATCTCCATTCAAACAGAAGATTCTTTGTACTGTCTTTACTAAATAGAAAGGAATGCCTTATGCTGGACCTTCTGCTGATGCATGTGTCACTTCAGTCTCTCACCAGATGTATGTAGTAAAGGCATTCGCACATGTGCTTGGCCACACAGTCTGTCATTTTACTAAATACATTTCTTTTTAAGTTCATTTAACCTTCACACATTAGTGGCTTTACATTCAAGTTTTATTTTGGAGTTAATTATATGGAGTTGAGGGATGGGGGCTGGTCTACACAGAGCTTCACAAAACTGAATTCTCTTTGGTTATCTACAAAGTGTCCTTACTCAAGTTGTTCACATTCCTCTCTGATACATATGTGTACATTTAGGAATTGTCATAAGTCTGACTGCTTTTTTGAATATTTGAGTCGTGAGTTTTTAGAGAATTTTAACTCTTTATGTCACTTTATTCATAATTACCCAAGGGGAATTATTTTTGCTCAGTTAACTCACCCCTCACTTATTTACATTACTTGAAGGAATATCAAAGAATTTTTAGAAAACTGTTTCACCTGACATTTTTAAATAATAATCAGTATAATTTTTCATTATATATACGTAGGAAATCTCATCAGAATTTTGTTGAGTAGCCCTTGTGAAAGGTACCAAACACAAACAAATAATTATACTCCATAGACATAAAGGATAGCCCTGTTTTTATGATCTGGCCTTACTTCAATAACTGTGTAAATTGCCTAATGATATTTCTCCATTTTTCAGATAGTTAAGTTACATGATAATGCAATTTGTAAAGTTTTGAGATCCTTAAATGATAATGATGTATTTGCTATACTATTATTGTTTTTCAGACAATATAGGTAGAATAATTATTTCTTCTAAATTTGTGTATATTTTTCTTTTAAATAAGTAAATGTGTAAAATGTATGAACTTATACTTATTTATAAATGTGAAATGTATGTACTTATTTATAGATCTCAACATTATGCATAGAAAACCAAGATATCAATAAGAAAAAAATATTAGTAATAGCTAAAACTTAATGTGTTAAAAGCTCTATTCTGAGCGCTTTAAGCATATCTTAAACTTAAATATAAAATTTAATCTTCATAAAAACAGTTGTATGAACCCCCATTTTACAGATGAGAAAACTGAGGCCCAGGATATATCCTAGCAAGTGCTAGAACCAGGATTAGAGCCCAGTCTGATTTCAGAGCCCAGGGCTCCCTTAGCCACTGTCCTGGCTCTGCTTGAGCACCTTCCATCACAGGGACCTCACTACCTTCAGTCGACCCATTCCAATGTGTTAGACATGTTCATTTATAAGTTGCTTTTTAACTGAGACTTGTGTTAAAATATTCCAGTAGGTGCAGAGATAAAACAAATTGTTATACAAACTGTTTAAGCTGAGCGATAAGTGTATGAGATCCCTTATGCTATTCTCCACTTCTGTGTATATTTGAACTTTTCATAATAATGTTTTTTTTTTAATTATCCCCTATTGTAAACTGAAAAGTTTAATTGGATTTTAGAATCTAATTTCTCTGTGTTAATTGTAGTTTTTCTTCTATGATAATATTTGTTATATTCTCAGAGTGATGTTCAGATAGTTGACTCTCTTATACCATACATTTTTTAATAAACTAGTGCTACTCAGCAGTGTTCTTAGTGTTTCAACAATGAAAAACAACATTTTTTTAGAATATCATGTTCCTTTATTTTATAAATGAACAAATATTGGTTCTTGAGAGGACTTAACTTTATCCAAACTTGTTTGAAATCATTGCATCTAAATACGCATTTAGTATAACCTATTTTTGTTTTTACAGGAGCCAAGCAATAAAAGAGTTCGACCTCTAGCTCGGGTCACATCCTTGGCAAATTTAATCTCTCCTGTAAGAAATGGAGCAGTCCGTCGCTTTGGTCAGACAATACAGGTAATGGGGGGACAGGGCTAGAGGGCCAAGTGATGGTGTGGGAGACTTTTATAGAAACCTGAAATTTGTATTTTTCTTTGAGCTGTACAGTTTTTACTATTAAACATGTTTTCTTTTTGGAATATTCTGGTAAGAAAAATTGTTACCAGTGCAACAGTTGTATAAACACACGCACAAATACGTTTGCATCTTATGTCAAAGCATCTTAGAAGGTTTTTATTCCCAAAAAGTAATTTGGGCTAATATTTTAGAATGATAGATTGACATTTAGATAAATGTTTTATGTATTGAGAAATTCTCAGAACGAAGTTTTGTCTTTCTTTAAAAAATAAAAATTTGGGGGCTGGTGAGGGTGGATAATTACTGTATCCTCTAAATCATTTCTGTTTGTTTCCTTTAAGTCATTTACCCTTCGTGGTGACAACAGATCCCCGGCTTCTGCCCAGAAGTTATCAAACAGATCAACAGTCCCAATGCCTACCAAGAGGAGAAGTAGTGTTCTGTGGTCAGAAAAGTTAGATATCAATATGAAGGAGTCTTTAACTACCAATGAAATCAAACGTCAGGAGGTATGATAGCTTTCAATAGCAAGACCATACTTACTGACTCATGCAACAAAAATAGAATCCTTGTTTTTTAAACATATGTTTTGCCTGAAGAATAGCAAACTAATACTGTGGCAAAACCAACTTGCATTTTTGTATCTGTGCAGTAATTCGTAACGCATGCTGAACAACGTTCTTGTTAGTAATGGTCATCAAATTTAAAAACTCTAATGGAATAAAGTTATAAAACATGGCAACCTTTTATTCAAGATTCTATTCTGAATTACAGTTTTCAGACTGAGTCACTTTAAAAAAAGCACTGTTCAAAACACCAGTTAAATAATGGCAAATATCAATTGTATTTAATTTTCTTTTCTCAGAAGAGGGAATGATTGACCTGTGATAATTTACTGGATTTTTTTTTTTTTTTTTTTAGGCAATATATGAACTGTTCCGGGGGGAACAGGATTTAATTGAGGATCTCAAGCTTGCAAGAAAGGTCAGTAAATAATTTTTCATCATCAAATAATTTTTCATGTTCTAGTTTTTAAAAATTTCACAAATTCTATAGAATAGTTTTTTCCCTTTAGAAGTAGAGAATATCTACTAGTGAATACCTTTTTTAGATGTGGTTAAATCTTTTCAAAGATGAATATTAGTAAGAGAATCTATTTGGGTATTAACATAATTTAGTTTCTTTATATGTAACAAATAAAATCCACGCCAGCTTTTATATAGTTAGTCATGCATGCATTGAGTACAGATCTCTCATCATGTTTTATTTGCTTAATCTCTATGTGTGACATTTTTCTCTCCCTCTGATAGGCCTACCATGACCCCATGTTAAAGTTGTCTATTATGTCAGAAGAGGAACTTGCACATATATTTGGTGATTTGGATGCTTACATACCTCTGCATGAAGGTTAGATATACTACTTAATGTTCATTAGTATCTGAACAGCAGTGACATAAGCAATTTTAAGTCTGAACTCCTAGTTTACTACTGAATAATTTTTAAATAAACCTATTAATCATAATGTTTTACATTTCAGATTTGTTGGCAAGAATAGGACAAGCAACCAAGCCTAGTGGAACAGTGGAGCAGATTGGTCACATTCTTGTGAACTGGGTATGTGGAGAGTTGCTTGTTTTACTCCAGATAGTTTTCTACAGATATGTCATACTTGTAACTTTGGCTGAATGTCATATCAATTTGATCCAGTAATTATATTCTACAAAAAAGATAAACAGGGCATTCAAACTGGACAAATTTTTAGCCTTAAAAACGGTCTGTGTTTAAAAAAAATTATCTCATGAGTGATACATTTTTGTTTTAAAATAGTCTCTGGACACATTCCCATATTTTTATGCAATTAATTATCCATTTCATTCTTCCAGTTAACATATGAGTGCCTACCAGATTCTAGGCTCTCTTCTAAGAGGGATCATTGGGGATTCAATGATAAAAGATAGTCCCCTGCATTTATGATCTAATGAAGAGAATAGTAAAGGATATAGTCTGGTTGGTGACGAATGCAATAGAGGAGCACGTGGCTGTCTTGAGGATACATTAGATGAGCATCTAACTGGTGTTGGGGGAGGTAGAAGTCATCAGTCTTTGGTTAGATTTAGCCAAATTAGGAAAATTTCAAAAGGGCACTCGTATGTTAACCCAGAATACTATCCTATTCCCATTATCCCGGAGGAGAATTTTCATGGCTTGTTAAAACTTTCAAGTCAGCTGTAAGTTTTGTGTTCATAGGCTTATGAATAGACTAAATCATGACAGGCACATATCATAGTTTGTTTTCTCTTATTTGCAGTTGCCAGGCTTGAATGCCTACAAAGGCTACTGTAGTAACCAGCTAGCAGCCAAAGCTCTTCTTGATCAAAAGAAACAGGATCCAAGAGTCCAAGACTTCCTTCAGCGATGTCTGGAGTCTCCCTTCAGTCGAAAACTAGATCTTTGGAGCTTCTTAGATATTCCTCGAAGTCGTCTAGTCAAATACCCTTTATTATTAAAAGAAATTCTGAAACATACTCCAAAAGATCACCCTGATGTTCAGCTTCTGGACAAAGCTGTAAGTACTCTAATAAATGATTTTATGGTTTCAAGTTTATACTTCTCAAATATTATGCATATTGAAATTTTTTTTTGTTTTAAGTGTCCAATACATTAGTACACTGTGCACTGAGCAATAAAGAGATGTATCATATTTTATATTCCTATTTTAATCAAGGAACTAGAATCTACTCTGATTTCTTCCACTTGCTCCCTGTATGATTTTGGGCAAATCACTCAATTTGACCAAGTCTGTTTCTTCATCCATGATGTGACATTTTAGCCATGTAGGAAAACAGCATTTAACATAAGTTAGATGCTGATGTTGCTCCATCTATTATTTCATAATTTTTAGATATCAATAATACAAGGAGTTCTCTCTGATATCAACGTGAAGAAAGGCGAATCAGAATGCCAATATTACATTGACAAACTGGAGTATCTGGATGAAAAGCAGAAGGACCCTAGAATTGAAGCAAGCAGAGCATTGCTCTGCCATGGGGAACTGAAGAATAAAAATGGACATGTAAGTGCGTGAATCTAATATAAAATGATTTAATACTTTCCTTTTCCTAACCTTTCATATTTATGAAGCAGACTTGTCAGATAAATTCATTGCATAATGAAACATGGTAATCAGTTTTTATATTATGTTATCAGCTTTGGTAAATCAAATTTGTTTCCATGCTACAGAATAACTTAAATGTCTCATTGGAAATTCAGTAAAACTGTCTTTTAGTTTTGAAGCATAAATCAATTTATTTGACTAGGGTTTCTTTTTACATAAATGATTAGTTTTTTAATGCTTAATAAAAAGCTATATCCTTCAAAAAAAGATTTTTGAGGGATTTATAGTGGTAGAAGTAGTTTTTAGCTAAACAACCTGCTAAACAAATTTTTACAGCAGGTTGAATGAAATCAAATTTATTTTTAAAATCATAATTTCGAAAGTACCTGCTAGAAGTAAGTGTAAACATGGGATGATATCTTTGTTTAATTGTGTGCTTTTCAGAAGCCCAATTCATAAGTTAAGATTCCTTTTAGAAAAGGTTGAAATCTAACATCTCTGATTTCTATCCTGAGGCCTAATTGTCCTATAAAGACGTAAAGGTGCCTTAAGATAAAATAATAGCATTAAAATTTTTACCAGTTTGCATTTTTCAACCATACTTTGTTAAAGAACTATGGTATACAACACTATTGTGTCCAGTCATGTTGTTTTCTGGTAGTCAGGCCTTTGTGATTTGCCACTTACTCAGCTATTATTTGATCTAATATTACACATCAATAAAGAAACATTTTCTGGGGCCTCCCTCGTGGCGCAAGGTGTTGAGCACCGCACTATGAAGCAATCCGCAGCCTCTGCAGCACAAGTTCGATCCCTGGCCAGCCAGGGAGCAACCCAAATGGCATGGCAGACCTCTCCTGTCTCGCCCGCTGCTCCCCTTGCAGTGTATTTCAGGCAGTCTGCCTGTTCTGTTCCCCACTCTGACTCTGGTGAATCCTCCCACCCCCTGCACCTCTGACCTGTACCCCAGCTCTTATATGCAAAAATAAATCTTTAAAAAAAAACAAAAACTTTTTTTGTCCTCAAAGGGAAAGCTCACGGCATAGCCATCTTTATAAGGTCATTTGAAAGGAGAATCTTAATAAATTAACTTCGTGAATTTAATTCTGGCAACTCAAGTTATTTAGCAATGAATTTCAATCACTTAATGTCACAAAGTTTCATATTTAAGAAGCATTTGTTTCCTATTTCTCCAGAAACTTTACATTTTCCTGTTTCAAGACATCTTGGTTTTGACTCGGCCTGTTACACGGAATGAGCGCCTCTCTTACCAGGTTTACCGGCAGCCAATCCCTGTCCAGGAGTTGGTTTTGGAAGACCTGCAGGACGGAGATGTTAAATTGGGGGGGTCCTTTCGAGGGGCTTTCGGCAACTCAGATAAAGGTAAAGATACAAACTATAAGAGGTTATAAATAGAAGCTCAGAACCTAACTGAATTTCATTTTCATATTTGGTAATTCTGTCTTTCCACAAAAAATTAAAATGAAAGCTGTACATGTTTATAAATATCAGTACCATGTAAAGGATGTATGAGCACTTTATCTAAAATAAAGGTTTGTTTTAAGTGTGATTTCCTCTTTTATATTTTTGTTTTTCCAGCTAAAAATATCTTTAGGGTTCGCTTCCAAGAACCCTCTTCAGGGCAGTCTCACACCCTGCAAGCCAACGATATGTTCCACAAGCACCAGTGGGTCAGCTGTATTCGCGCTGCCGTCGCCCCTTTCCGGCAGGTCTCCAGCCCCGCTGAGCTGCAGGGGCTACCGGAGCTCCACGAAGGGTGTGAGAATGACCCCGCTGCCGGCAATGTCAGAGCCCAGAGGAGAGCGTCCACGGCCTCTAGTGTGACTCAGGTCGAAACTGAAGGCGACGCTTCAGAATGTGGCTCCCCGGTGCCCACCACAAGTCACATCAAGAGCGTGAAAACCCACCGGACACAGCCTGGCTGCCGGAAAGCCAGGGACAAAGCCCCAAACAGTGGCAAACGGAAGGAGACTTTGGTATAAAGGAAGCCCTGTGCACTAACTAGTGGAGAGACTGTTAATTTATAAATGTGTACAGTTTGTTTTTCCTTGGAATGTGAGCATGTAACGAGCATCGCAGGGTCACTTAATACCAGTCTTAACACCTATGGTTTTGGTGGTTGTCCCTTTTTTATTTTTTCCCAATGGCAGCTAAAGATATATATGCAGATTACTGCTGAACAGCAGGGGCTTTTTTGGGGTTTGGTGTTTTGTTTTTTTTTTTTGTTTTTTTTTTTGTTGTTGTTTTGTTTTTTTTAGCTATGTTCTCAGATTATTTAGAACATTCAAACCTGGTCTTTTTAATCCAATGAAATAAGTTTTCTCCTCATTCTGCATTCATCATGATTTGTCAATACCAAACCATTGTGGGATTTACTATATTTGCCAAAACTTAAAATTTTGCAAATACTGGGATTTTACCAGTGTTTCTTTGATAGACCTAGCATAGACTTTGAAGTTTTAACATTGGCATCTGACGTCTACATGAAATAGATGTTTGTAATGTTTTAGAATTTACATCAAAATTTAATTTCTTTGGAAACCATCAAACTTAATAGATTTTCCATTTTATCAACTGGAATGCTATATGTTTGTTTTTCACTGCACATTCCTCATTTTTCATTCATTTAACCAACCGATTATTTAATTTTTTTATTGTAAAGTAGTTTTTAGTATTTGCTTTTATTTTTTTACTTTAATGCCTTTTCAAATTGGCATGTCTTTAAAGTATTTTTCTTCCTTGATTAAAAATGTGTGTATGCGTGTGTGTGTATATATATATATATATACTTATATATGTAAATTTTTTTAGTCATATTAACTTTACCAAGTGAAACCAAGCCATACTGTTTTTGAGCCAATTTTGAAAACTGCAATGTTGAAAGTAGCATTTTGGGGTGGCGAACACACAAAGCAGCACCTCCTTGTGTTCTGGACTACTGAAAGGAAACCACCATCATGATTTGTTGAAAGTTTTAGTGGTGTCTGAAGAAAAGAGGGAGAGCAATTGATGACTGATAGTAAGTAAAATAAGAAGGAAAGGGAGAGTAGTTTTGTCTTAAAATTAAAATGTCTGGTTGTGCCAGAATGTGGAAGAATAGAGAAAAAGCTAAAATTGAGGGTATGTAGTAAGTTGTAGAAGGTTTGAGGGGAAGTGAATTTTATTTGCCTTGGTTTATACAACCTGCAAATAATGGGTTTGAAGAGAAACAATGATATGTGTTGGAAATTTGACTGTATTGCATTATTTGGTCAATTTATTCATATGATGGAAAAAAGACTGATTAATCTTTTATTGTAAAATGTTTCTGTTAAAATGAGATCCTAGTCTTAAAATTCTTCTCACGGCAGATTTACAATGTTGATCCATCCAAGTAAATGTTGACTATTTTGTGAAATATATTTGGCCAGTGAAAATGAAAACAAACAAAAAAAAAAACGTGTAAATAGATCAATCCAAATGATTTCTCTGTATAAATGAATTATATAATTAAAAAGAATCACACACATAATCACCATTAAACATTTCTTGTCTGATGAGTTTTTTGGGGGGACATTTGCCAGCACGTGTTGCTATGGTAAAGGAGGCAATGGCAAGCCTCACAGAAGTTTTCAAAAATTGTAAATACTTAAACCTTTAAAAACCTGATGAATAAGAAAAAGCCCTAATTCGGTCAACTTTTGTGAATCTCAAACCATTTAGAGCACAATATAATCAGAAATAGCAATTGGATTGAAGACAGTTGAACTTTGGATATGCTAGTAAAACTAATAGCAAAATATTTGCATTCATTTGATTAATTTCATATTCTAATTTAGGTATCAGGTTTCCAGCTTTGGAAATGCAACATTTCCACAATCCTAGTCAACCTAACCGCCTTCCCACTTCTAGTGATGGGCCCTTCTCCAGGGTTCCCTCCAGGACACAAACCACTACTGTTGGGGTCTCTCCCTTGCGTCTCCCCACCCCATTCTACACTGTCCCAAACATGATTCTGTCTTCACTCACGTTGGGTTCCAAATACTCTGTTAAGTCAGCCCCACCCCAGGGCCAGAGCAGCTGGTTCCAGCTCAAACCAAACTTGCTTGCCACAAGGGGCTTCTCCACCAAGGCACCACCATTTAGGAATCATCTCCGATGGAATGCTTCACGCTGAGATCACACTGTGGCAATACTAACTTGTCCCAGCTTACCCTGCTCCATAACTCCAGCTTCCTCTGAAGAAAGTTGACTACAATCCTTCCATTCCTCCCAGCTCCAGTGGCTGCCCCTTCTAAGATTCCCTCACCAGATGCAACCTCCAGCCACAGATGCCAGCTCCCTTTTGGAAACAGCCTCCTCCAGCTCCTATACTCCTCTGCTCTGCCCACCTCATCTCCCCAACCTCTTTCTCCTTTTGATCTTTTCTCCTTTTTCAGACTATGAAATGTTGGAAAGCCACAGGACTCAGTCCCCAGCTCTTTTCTATGTGCTCCCGAAAAATCTGATCATTCCATGATTTTTAACACCACCAACACCCACCAACACTTAAACCTTCATCTCCACTTATGACCCTCCCCATGGTCTAGGCACACGGCCTACCAGCCTGTCCGACTGACTTGGAAGTCAAATGCATCTCACATGACCCCAGATGTGGGGCTAGTGCTAGTCTACCCTCTCCTCCCCTGATCTTCCCCCATCTTAGTAAAGGCCAGACCATAAATCCATCCTTGATTCCTCTGAACCACTCACACGGCACGACCATTCTCCCATTTGAAGCCATGACACCTCGGCTTCCACAACACATTCGGATCCACTGCCCAGCACCTTCATTCTTCTCAATGTAATATTAGCTGCCTCCTAACTGGCCTTTCCACACTCACCACCTTAAAATCATCCTTCACATGGCAGCCAGAATGGTCTTCCTAAAACAAAAATTAGATCATGATAAAACATCAAAATAAGACATTTTAGTCTTAGAAGATTCAGGAAATTACAAAAAAGAAATACCTCAAGAAGGAGCACCCTCTCAACACAGGCTGCGTGAATGGGCAGATAATATCTGTAAAAGACACATCTGATAAAGGATGTGGTCAAAATAAACAAAAATCTCATTATACTCAATAAGACAACAAATCAGTTTTTTAGAAAAACTGAACCAAGGATGTGGAAAGATACTCCACATCATGTCATTAGGGGGTTGCCCATCAAAACAATGAGGTACCACTATACACATATTAGAGTGGCCAAAATCTGGAATACTGACAACACCAAATGCTGGTGAAGGTGGGGAGCAGCAGGAACTCTCAGTGCTTGTGCAATGAGAAATGGTGCAGCCACTTTGGAAGATAGCTCGACAATTATCAAACTATGAACAAAAACCTACCACACCATCCAGCAATCATGCTCCTTGGTATTTATGCAAACATAAGTGAATACATACACAAAATCTTTCACGAAGATGTTACAGCAGCTTTATTCATGATTGTCAAATTTTGAAAACAAGAAAGATGTCCTTCAGTGGTGAATGGATGAACCGGTACACCCAGAAAGTTTTTCAGAGTGAAAAGGAAAAGTGCTACTAAGCCCCTGAAGAGACATGAAAGAAACTTAAGTGCTTATTATTAAATTAAATAAGTCAATCTGAAAAGGCTACAGATTGATGATTCCAAGCATATGACATCCTGGAAAAGTCATAACTATGGAGCCAGTAAGAAGATTTGTGGTTAGAGAAAAGGGAAGGATGAGTGGGCAGAGCATGGAAGATGCTCAGGGCAGTGATACTACAATGTATGAGGCTGTCATGGTGCATACGTATCATGCCTTTGTCCAAACCCAAAGGCTGTACAACACTGAGTGAACCCTAATGTAAGTGACTGTCTCTGGGTGACGGTGCGTCAGCGTAGGTTCATCAACTCTAACCAACGTACCATCTGGTGGGGGATGTTGGTAGTGGGTGGCTAGGTATTTGGGAACAGGGAATAAATGGGAGCCCAACTTTCTGCCCCACTTACCTGTGAACCTAAAACTGGATGGAAATACTTGGCAAAGTGTCCAGAGACGTCCTCCCTCTGGTCATATCCCTCTCAGAGAAGTTCTCCAAGCCAGGTCACAGATGCAGTGCCCAGAGCAGCCCACTCTACTCCTGAAGATCAGAGCTAGAGTGTGGATCCACATGCCCCTTCACGAGCAGGGACAAATCAAGTGGCACAGGAGTAGAGGGTGACAGCTCTGTGTCACAGTGTCAGCCAACAGGCGCTCCTCACTTCTTTTAGTCCAACCACCATTGAGCCTGGGACCAACCTGGGGTTACCTAACTGAGGCAAAGACGCCTGTCTCTGCCTTTCTCCATTCTCTGCCTCCTGGGGTAGAGGGAAGAAGCAGAGACCCACCCCAAGTCAAAGCAGACCTCTCCTCTCCCACCATGACGTGCCCCCCTGCTTCACCCCGCAAGGCTGACCCTCAAGATCATGGGAACCAGCTGTCCACTGGGTTGCGCCGATTTCTACTTCCCCCAGGCCTGATTTCCACAGTTCAAATCCAACTGTCAGTTGAGCAGGACTGGAGAAGTTGGCAGCAGGTCTCTTCCACTCCTGGAAAGGGCTGCAGGGCTGGAAAAGAGTGTTATCTGACATCACTTACCTTTGCCAACTCTCAGGCATACACCTTGTCTGTCTTCTCCCTGGCAGACTCCTCTCCAGCCCCCAACACACCCCTGCCCTCGGGTCTGTAATCTCTATCTTGGGCGATCTCCAGGTGTGAACTCAGCCCTCAGCACCCCACCCAACTGTGCAGAGAAAACACATGTGGATTCTATGATGACGGGGTAGTGGGGGTCGAGGGGTGCAGAAAATGGAAGGGAGAGCAGAGCAGAGCAGGGGAGGGCCACAGGGTGGGGAGTGTAGGGCCAGGCAGGGGAGGGCAGTGCAGATCAGAACAGAGCAGGGAAGGAGAGGCATGAGCAGGAGAGGGGAAGGCAGGGAAGGGAGGGTGAAAGCCTTGAGGGGTGTGGATGAGGGGAAGGAGCGAGGCAGTCCTCTCTGATGGGCTCTGTAGCTGAGGGAAATAAGGTGTAAGTGGAACTGTAGGCCCACTCTTCTCCCCATTTTCTCTCCTGCTTGGACTGCTCCTGGGCAGTGCTCGCTGTGGGCACAGGAGGGAGGGAACCGACTCAAGGTCTCTGCCCCAAAGGAGTATGTAATCTAAGGCTGACAGCAGGGAAGCAGACACTGGACAAACCCCACAAACCGCTCATCTAAGTACATGACTGGCATAGTAATTTTCCGCAGCATCAAAGGGCTGTAGCACATTTTATAGGTGACAGATGGAGCTGAAAGCTCAGCACAGCCTTAAATTTACTCCGGCTGGCCGGGTGCAAGCTCCACCTGTCCCGTGCCTGCTGATTCCAGTGGGGTCTGAACTTTTCCAAAATAAGGGAAAATGACACAGAGGTATAAATACACAGTCAAACACACCCTATCTGAGGGCACAGGGGGTTCCTGGAACTGTGAAATGATGTTTGCCTATAGGGTGGGATCATGAAACTGTCTTCCCCACACATGGAAACTATTTCTGACAGTCTCTGCTGCCTCACTTACAGCCAGGTCCTCCAGGGAGAACCCTCCCAAGAACTTTCTGCTGAGTTTCTTTGTTGCAGGAACAGACAAGCAAGTGTGGTGGATGGTGTGTGTCTGCCTGTTCATAATACCCAAGCTCCATACCACACACACAGAAGTACTCTTTCTCAGGTTCTGAAATCAGAGCTTGTTGGAGAATTAACAATCTCACTAGCAACACCCAGTACCCAGGGTCCCTGGCTCTGAGCTTTCAGTTGCACAATTGGGCCCCACCCACACCTGGACCACTGCTCCTTGCTCACCTCTGCTCTGTGACACCCCCTACAGGTGCACTCATCCTTCAAGACCCAAGCAGTCAACCTGGCCCCATATATACCATCCCCCAACCAGGTCCCCACCCACCCCACCAAGGACACCACTTCTAGCTTGAAAACCACCTTCTTTCTGGTCTGTAAGTTTATTGGTCTCTCTGGCTCAGTATGGGCCAGCTCTGATACAAAGATATGCTCAAACGTGTTTGTGGGATGAACAAGAAAGGCTAAACTACTTGAGTTCGTATTGGCAGAATTCATGGCACAGGGAACAAGCCAGTCAAAGACTCACAGATTTCCAGACCCTCGAGGGCTCTGTAGACACCCCCTCCAGGAATTCACACCCTTCTCCACAACCTTCTGACAATGTACAGGGATGGTCTGTGTGACCAAGAGCATAACATGGACTTGACTGTGTGATATCTGAGCCACTTCAAATTGCTCCACCTCAGGCGACTAACCCTGGAGGAAGTCAGTCGCCCTGCTGTGGGGGCACTTGAGTTGCCCTGTGGCCATGTCCACAGAGGAAAGACTAGCCATGGTCTGGGTGGACTAGCCCACCGTGCAAAGCCCTGGGGACAGACCTTCCAGTCGAAGGCCAGCCTGGGGATAATGCAGCCTCCCCCACCGGTGTGTTGACTAAACCCCATGCTGAGCCAGACCACAGGCGAA